TACCGTGAGTGGAGACTGAAAGGCAGCTCTTGAGGATCAGGAGTGGTGAGGGGAGCTGCCAAAGAAGCGGCACTGTGAAGAAGGCTACTGCTATCAGTGTAAAACATGTGGTCAGTCAAAAAACAAACTTATTGGCCATAACCAGGTGATGGGGGAAATGGTGCTGTCCAGCATCTGGGCAGACCATCACAGAGTGGAAAGGCAGAGCTTTTTGCTTTGATTGTAACTTTTAAGTTGTCTGTTACTTAAATTACTGATTATTAAAAGTTAAATAACTGTCTTGTTAAGTAAATATTATTGACATGTTAGTTTTGAGCATTTGGAATAAAGCGGATTTGGGAAGACAAGTGTGTAATGTTTCAGTTTTCATATTAACTGATAAGACTTTCATACGAATGTTGATGAGAAAATTATTGGAATGACTGTTAGGGTTGAGTTTGTGACGTCCCAGAGAAAATGATCTAAAAACTTAAGTTGGCTTTTTAACTGTTATTAACTGTTATTTTTGTGAAAACAAGTAAATAACTGAAGAGAACTTAATAGGTGAAGCAAATCTGAAAAACAATATTTTAAATTAATTTCCCCTTTTTCTCCTTTTACCGTTCTTTTTCCTCTTTTTTCCTAGCAGTCCACTTTGCCCTGACTATTCTAAGCAAATGCTTATTAGGGTAGATGTCCTCCAACCTGGAACTAGAAACCTTTGAAAGAGAAAGGACCTATCTGCTAGAAGAATTAAGAGACATGGGAAAAGCAAATTTATGACTTAACAATCTGCTACATAATGGTTCAGATCAGTATAATATATATATAAAATGCATTATTGAGATATCTAAAGAAAGTAGGACTGTATAATAGGATTTAGAGATTTTATTTATTTATTTTAAATAATTTCCCTTTCCCTCAACGTTCCACACTCCAGTCCAGTAGGTGGAGGGAATGCACCTAACGTTGGTTTGCCATAAAACTTGAAGAAGAAGAAGAAGATGAAACTCCACTCCAGTCCAGGTGGTGGCAGTAACGCGCTCAGTAGCTGCTTCTCCAACCTCCAGGAAACACTGAAGAACAAAGAGGCTGCAGGTTTCTCGGCTGAGCAGCTGAGTTATGCGTCCGAGCTGATCATTTCTACATTAAATCACTTCTGACAGAGTTTTAGATTTGATCCTGCTAGAAATAAAAGCTGTCATTGTGTCTGTGTTTTGAGGATTTAAAACCCTGAGGTAAGGTAAACAGAAGCTGTGTGGCCGAATCCCAAATGGATCTTCACTTCACTGTTTAAGTGCACTACATAAGGCATGAATTCATGACCTGTACACCCTGTGTAGTGCACTACTTATCTAATGAGGAGAGATTTGTAATTCGGCCTTAGCGAGGTGTTTTATTGTAAGTGGCCTGTGTTTAAAGTATTTAAATAAACCATAAGTTGTCACACTTTATGAACTGCTTACAACAATCAAGATCAAACATATAAACATGTTCATGTTTTGAGGTTTACAGATGTAAGAACAGCTTCAAATATTCCTCTAATTTCCTTTTATCTTTATTTAAATATTTAAGATATTGTTTATTATTATTATTATTATTATTATTGATGTCTTTTCAGACCTGCTGTAATGAGTTCAGCAGGAGACAGACAGCGCTCCTCCAGAGAGGCTCAGGCTCCTGATCCTGCTCCCTCACAGGTAAAGCTTAATGACGTGTGAGAAATCAATAATCAATAACATGATAGTTTGCCTTTTGCATGTTACTACTCTGAATCTGAATAAGAGTTATTGTTTTATCATAAGGATGTGAAAACGGAGACTTCAGATGGACGGACAGAGGTCTGTGTGAAGAAAGAGGAGACGCAGGAGCTGAACATCTCCAACCGTGGAGACAACCACAAAAACAGACCTGACATTATCTCCATTAAAGAGGAAGAAGCTGATAATGAAGACAACCTCTGTAAGACGTCAGGCCACTCTGGAGCTCAGTAACAGTCTCACCATGGTGCATGGGGGGAAAAAAAACGAATAGAGAAAGTACCATTTTTGCAATGTAATCATGAGGTGTGAAACGCTGGTTGCACTGCTTTTTAAAAACTGCTGCATTTTGACCAGCTTACAGCCACTTGACATATAATTAGGTTATAAGTAGACCATCTCATCGTAATTAGGCCCTGATAAATAAAAACATCTAATTGCAGAAGGGTGAACTCTCTTTTTTCCATGACCATATGCTTACACACTTAAAACACTACAAAAGTGTATTTATTGCAGTTTATTAACTAATTTGGGCATCACGTTTTCTCTCCTTGCAGACTGCGAGGTTTGCAAATCCTTCTTCTACAACAAGTGTGAGGTTCATGGTCCGGCACTCTTCATCACTGATACTCCTATTCCCATGGGAGTCCCTGACCGAGCCAGACAAACTCTTCCTCCTGGACTAGAGATTCGGAAGTCCGGTATTCCTGACGCAGACCTGGGAGTGTTTAATAAGGGGGAGACTGTTCAAGTTGGCGCACACTTCGGACCCTACCAGGGAGAGCTGGTAGACAGAGCGGAAGCCATGAACAGTGGCTACTGTTGGGTGGTGAGCTATTATACATTTATTCTAAATATTAAAAAGTAATTTTCGGGGGTGTACATTTTCAGTGCAGTAGAAGTAGTAGTTGGGAGAAGTGTTACTTGCTACAGTTTTCTCACACCAGTTTACTTTTACTGAGTGCATAATGTGTCATTTTATTAGTGGTATAATCCGTTTCACTGGAGCTACAAAATGCACTTTTTAAGTAGCAGAATGCCGTTTAGTTCAAATTTGATCATTTCTTTGCACCATATGGGGAAGCATGCACAAACACACTTTCAGCTGCTTCAGAATGCTTATAATATACTGGCACTCAAACAGGTATTCACCCTAAACTCAATCCAGCGGAAGGAGCTTAACATTTGATCTAGACTAGGCTTGTGCAATATACCGATTTAATTGTCCCTCTGTGTTCTTACGCCGCCACAGTATCTAGTGATGTTTACTCTAATTATATTAAAATACTAGACCTGCCAACCTTTATGCATTTTGCATAGGAGTTCTCTTTAATTCTAACTTGCTCTGATGTTAGTTGGGATTTCATTTTATTGGGAAAAATGCTCGTTTAGCACATTTTTGAGTGATAACTCCATACTAACTTACTCTGCAGTTTAACATCGGAAGGTAGTTTAACTATATTTTCGCACAGTGACATGCTACTTTTTGAATACTTTGAGGCTGTAATAATAACCATGGGGCATACTGTATATTGTGCAGTTTAAGACTGTGGGCAGCTGGTATTAAGCAGGGCTAAGCACCCCTTGTCTTTCAAAAACGAAAAAGAAAGCATCAGTAAAAGGTTTCATTTTTGGCACCCATGGTTTAGCTCATGTTTCATCCTAATCTCCTAAAGCAGTATAATCCAGGCCTACTTTTAATTTCAAGGGCCACGGCTCAACTGGTGGCTAATGTTTTTCTTATATCATCCCTAAACTCTTATATTGTATTCCAGAAGATAGTGGGAGTGCAATTTTTAGTAAAAAAAAAAAAAAAAGAACAAGAAACAGGATTTTTTATTTAGGCTTTACTCTTAGGCTATAATGAGGCAGAAGTGCTTAGACTGAACACAGGAAAAAAATGCATAAGTTAAGTGATAAAAAGTAAACATGTATCCTTTTTGCAGATATACAGAAGTGGGCAGTGTGAAGAATACATAGATGCCAAGAGAGAAATGCATGCTAACTGGATGAGGTGAGGAAAATCCTTGTTGTTGGGTCTTTGTTTTTACAATTTTTTTATTTATCTCTATTTTCTTATTCCTTATCACTGATATCTCCCATTGCTTTCTCTCACTATCTCTAACTCCTGTGGGTTTTTTAAAAACTTTTTCCAATTTGCCTCTTTCTCTTAGGTATGTGAATTGTGCTCGCAATGAAGAAGAGCAGAATCTTGTGGCATTTAAGTATCGAGGTGGGATTATGTACCGTTGTTGTCGACCCATCAACTCAGGACAGGAGCTCTTGGTGTGGTATGATGAGGAGTATGCCAAAGATCTCGGGCGTACATATGATTACCGCAGGAACAAAAAGTGCTCCGCAAATGGTAAAGTTTAACCATTTTTATTAAAGTCAAAATTTTTTTTTTCCCCATTTTATTTTTGTGATTATTAGTGATTTTAGCATGTGCCTCATTTCCTTGCCCTCCCACCAACTGAACATCCATTGTGCTGCCCATTTAACTGCACTGGTGCAAATAGGATTGGAGTGGTGCTCCCCTCCCTTCCCTCACACATCCAGAGCCTCCCTTCTAACTGCAGGGCACAAGGCTAGAGTTTGGGAAACTCTCTTGACAGTGTGGTTAACATACAGTCTAAGGTGTGGATGGCAAAGGCTGAAGCATTCAAAACAGCCCTAAATCAGAGCCTGCCGGAGAACAGCAAGAATTGCTGGCGGGACATTTCATGACCAAAAATCTCACCTACTGGCCACAGCGATCAGATAAGTCGAGCTTTATTGTCATTCTGCTACATGTGTGGACATATAGTGGACAGGACCACGGTGCTACATACAAGTTAAACATAAATGAAGTGAAGTGACCCATACTTGGAATTTGTGCTCTGCATTTAACCCATCGAAGTGCACACACCCAAAGCAGTGGGCAGCCTTTTTTTTGCTGCGGCACCGTTAGGGGATTGGTGCCTTGCTCAAGGGACTCACCTCAGTCATGGTATTGAGGGTGGAGGAGAGCACTGGTTATTCCCACCCCCACCCAGCTTGAGACTTGAACCTGTGACCTTCAGGTTGCAAGTCTAACTCTCCAACCATTAGGCCATGAGTGCCCCCAACAATATTGTTTCAGCCAGGGCCAATGAAGCATTCCATTTAAGACAACAACTAGGGAATTGCCTTGCCAGGTCAGGATTCCTCACTATGGAATTCTTCTCAGATACTCTGTCTGGTATAGAAGAGACTAACATGCAACAAACAGAGGGGAGTAAATGACTCTGGTGGGACTCGAACCCACAACCTTTGAATAGCTCTAACACTAAGTCTAGAAGTCCAACGCGCTATCCATTGCGCCACAGAGCCCCATAAATATGAATGTAGAAGTATAAGAAACAATTTGGTTGACTATACATACTGTAAAAAAACTTTACATACATACTGTATGTGAAAATAAGCAAATGAGATTTTGAAGGAAGCAGCGCATAGTGTAAGATGATTTGTAGTGCAATGTACAAGTAAACATATCAAAACTGAGTCTTTGTGTGAGGGAGTGTCTATAAAAAGTGTTCAAAATTCAAATTCAGTTTTATTTGTATAGCACTTTTAACAATGGACATTGTCACAAAGCAGCTTTACAGAAATAAATGGATTAACAAAAAATATATTATAAATATTTGAATTTATCACTGTGAATTTATCCCTAATGAGCAAGCCAGTGGCGACGGTGGCAAGGAAAAACTCCCTGAGATGATATGAGGAAGAAACCTTG